ATGGACCCAGAAGAAGTTCTGAACCTCTTTGATTCATACTGGTTCAATCTTGAAATCTTCAAGAAACCCCCACAAATTTCAAATTCTGAAACAAACCCAAATCACCAAAATCAAGAAAACAATCCAGAACCCAAAATTTCAAGCCTCCCAACAATCCATGTGAGGTCCAAAAGTGACCAATTGATGAGCACCACTGGAAGCTTCAGTTCTGATTCTCTCTCTCCAGACTCTGTCCTCTCCTCAACACCTCATCTCCAGGCCATCCTCTCAGGATTTGAAGCTACAAAAGAAGAAGAGCCAGCAATAAAGCAAAAGCAACCCAAGAAAATCAGAAGCATGAGGAGAAGAACAAACAAGGGTATGACAAAAAGCTTGTCAAGCCTTGAGTTTGAGGAGCTAAAAGGGTTTATGGATCTAGGTTTTGTGTTCTCAGAAGAAGATGTGAACTCAAGTCTGGTTGAGATTATTCCTGGGTTACAAAGATTGGCCAAGAAAGATGATGGTGAAGAACAAGTGAAAGAGATTAGTAGTAGTAGTGCTTTTGATGAATCTTCAATTCCAAGGCCTTACCTTTCTGAAGCATGGGAGGTTTGGGAGAGAGAGAGGAGAGAGAATCCATTGATGAATTGGAGAGTTCCTGCTTTAGGTAATGAAATTGACATTAAAGATAGCCTCAAATGGTGGGCTCACACTGTTGCATCCACAGTTAGATGATGATGGTCTCTCTGGCTTATTGCTATTTTTGTGTTCCTCATGTTTATATTCCTCATGTTTATGTTTTTTATTTTTTTCAAATTTTGTGAAAATATTTTTTGAGCAGAACTTTGTGGTTTTGGGTTTTAGTTTTTGTTGATTCTTTTGATTTTTGAATTTTGTATCAGTTGTAATGTAATTGTCTATAAAAAAAGTAGATAGATTTTTTGTTTGCTTTCTGATGGGTTTTGGTATTGTGTTATTATATTTTTCTTGGAAACATCTGAGTATGACAATTCCAATGAAAATGGATTGAACTTGGAAGTTTGACCTTGGAAGTTTTGACCAATTCATTCATATACCATTCCATAATTTGCTTTGGTAGATTCTTCATGTGACGCACGGACATATAATGGGTTAGGGAGTAATTGTTTGTTATTATTATTATTATTATAATAATTGTAATGCATAACCATATAATGGATAGTTCAAGAAAAATGTTTTTTCTACACGATTTGTTTTTATAAATTTTTTGAATGATGTAATAAGGAAAAAAACAAATTAATTAGTCATGTAGTTTGTGAGAAAAGATTTTGTGCATAGGGGTGTGCGCGGTGCGGGTCGGTGCGGATTGAGAGAAAAATAGAAACCGTATGGCGGGTGGCGGATTGATAAAAGTGTCACTAGAATTTGCCATTTTCCTTATCGAAAACCGGCGGTTCGGTTGGCAAATAGTGACGGATTTGCCTTGGCGGTTTGGGCGCAGTTTATAAAAAATATAATTCAAATTACAAAATTTAAATCAAAGAGTAAAAAAAAAACGAGAGATATCGTGATGTTAAGCATCTTGCGAAGCTTTCTTCTGATGCAGCAAGTGTAGCAACAACATGATAATATCAACGACTATGCCATCAGTTCATTACAAGTATCTGTGGAAGCTGCAATGATCAAATACAATACATAAAATTCCCCTCGAGCAGTAATGTAATACTATATTCTAAGGTATAGAACAACAAGCAAACTTAAGTAAAAAAGAATTTTTAGAATCCTATAAAACATGATTTAATAGCGGTGCGGGTCGGTGCGGTTTGGAAGAAAAATAGAAACCGGCGGATTGATAAAAGTGTCACTAGAATTTGTCATTTTTCTTACCAAAAACCGACGGTTCGATTGACAAATAATAACGAATTTGCTTTGGCGGTGCGGTGCGGTTCGGTGCGGTTTTAGCGGTTTCGGCGGTATTATGCACACCCCATATAACTATTGAAAGTTTAAATATAATAAGAACGGTGGTGTTATATGTTTCAATTAGTATATATATTAACAACCGTGCTGGGGACCCCCAGTGGGGGGTGACCCCCAGCACCCCCAGTCCACATGGGGCATTGTGATTGGCAGATAGGAAAAAAAAAAAAAAAAAATTTCCAGCCAATAAGAAAACACTGGGGGTCATGGGGGTTTGAAAAATTGGGGGTCCAAATCATTTTTGATATATTAATGTATTAATTAGTATTATGATATTATTATTGGTCATATTTATTATACAAGTTATAAATACGTAAAATCATACAAATGATAGTATGTGGGTGTTTGGGAAGTGAATTTTTCTGTAAGTTTTTTTAGTTGTAGGATATTATTGGATAAAAAAAATTTAGTGCTTGGGAAGATAGTGGGGGTGTTTTTGTGGTTGGATGTGATGTTAGTGAGAGAAAAAGTGAAATGATTATGGGGTTAGATGTGATATTTTGTTTGAATGTGTTTTTTTTTGGTTTTGCAAAAAGTTTATCTTTTAGTGAAAAAAATCAAAAAAAAAAAAAAAAATCCCAAACCTTTGTTCCCAAACATCACCATCTATTAGTGCATTAGTGTACATTAATTGGTATAAATAACATTATTCTAAAAAAAATTATTACAGTAAAATTTTAATTTATTTGGTAATGTTTAGATTTATTTTATACAAAATTTAAATTTTTAAATAAAATTTTATTTAGTGACTATTTTTATTTATAAAATGAAAATAATTTAGAAAATTTTGTAAATTATTGTAAAGAGAAAATATATATATTTTTTCATTCGTTTTAAAAATAAGTTTAGGAAAACTGTAAAGAAAAACCTTATGGTTTGATCTTTTTAACAAATTAAACATTTAGTTTTTTATTTTATCAATTTAAACTTTAAATTTTTGATTCATTTTCAATTTAAATTATTTGTCTATTTTTGTTAAATAAAATAAAAAATAATATTTTAGTCATTAAATTCAATAAAAATGATATTTTAGATATTTTATATATATACTTAAATCTCGTTTGACATGCAACACTTTTAGTATAAAAGCTAAAATATTGCTAAAAAAATCAAAATACTTATAACCTATACTAAAAAATCAAAAATTCTATTTTCTCTCTACTTTTTGCACATCTGTTCATACAAAACTAAAAAGTCAGTCTAAATATAATAATATTTTTTATCTCATATTTTAGTTAAAAAATCAAAAAATTACTAAAATAATTTGTTCCCAAATGGGACCCTATATTGAGTTTAATAGCTAAAATACTTTTTTTTTATGTCAAAAATACTTAACAAAAATAGACAAATAATTTAAATTTTTTAAAATTTAAATTTTATTTTGTTACAAATTTCAAACTCTAAAATTTTCTTTTGTAAATTGTCCCAACAAATTTTCATTCATTTCTCGCTCTTATAACCTCTTTGACCACCCACATACGACAGCCACTTCTGATATCCTCTTTGACCACCCACATGAGACAACCTCCTATAACCACAGCCTGTGTCAACATGAATGCAATAAAGGATTCAATAAAAAGTTATTTAAAGTTTGTAGTAAAATTTTTATTCTGTGAAATCAATTTTTTGATTTTTGATTTTTTTTTCTTGTTTTGTATGAACATAACCTTGAATTAAACATAAGGGATATGGGATAAAAAATTGATGACGAGATGAGGAAAATTGATGACGTTTTTTAAGTGCGCTATGCTAACAATTAGTTATTGGTTTATTTTATTTTATTTTATTTCAAAATTTAAAAATTCATAACTTTCATGCTACATGTCCTGTTTTTATAATCCATTTGTCAGAATACATAAATCAAGATTTATGTTTGATATGAAATTATATGGAAAGGGAAAGTGAGAATTTTTTAAAATCTATCATTCGATTAAATTGTCAAATCTCACAAGTTTTTATTTTTTTGAATGTGAAATTTCACATATTTAATCTCTTTCCATTAAATTTTTGAGTTTAACATTTTTTAGAATAATAATTTTGTGCTATTGTTGAAAAGATGAAATTTCACAATGGCACTTAATTATTATGAAGTCTCAATAATAATGCAATTTTTTTAAATTGTGAAATTCCTTACATTAAATTGATTTTTTTTTTTTCAATCTTAGTAGTACAATTAACAATTCTGCTAAATCTCCCAATATATCCTTCGAATGATGTGGCTAAGAAGGTTTAAAATTATATATCAATTGCAAAATGGAATGCATAAAAAACACACACAACACAGAAAAATAAATCCATCAGTCACAAACTAGTTCTGCAAACACATGCATGCTACCCTTCAAGCGTTTCTCACTCTTAGGCGTCTCTCCATCTCTATTGTCTCTTCTCTCTCTCTCTCAAGTACGGTTTGATTTTTGTTTTTAGTGGTTGAAATCTGTATATTTTTCTATTAGGGTTTAAGACAAGCACAAAATTTGGGGCTTTTCAATTTATAAATTAGGGCTTTTCAAACATTGGTCTTGGGATTGTAAATTGTTGTTTTATGGTCAGTTTCTTGTGTTTGAAATAGTTTAATGTGCTGAAATGTACAGTGGCCCAGGTCTAGACCCCACCCGTGTTATTCTTTTCTATTGAGTTCATAATTGTTTGGCGTTGTATTATACTTCTTTGAAGCCCTTTTGCTGTAGAGAACCTTGGTTTTGAGCTTTGAATTTAGGCCGCCTGCCTGCCTTGTAAGAGTGGTCACGCTCGCACTCGTGAGGCTTGAGGGTCGCGCCTTCAAGGGGCCGTGACCAGGTTGCGACCAAAACACACCTTTAGGTCCCTTGCCTAGGAAAGTTGCGTGGCTTGTGAAGGGCCACGATGGTGGCCTCTGAACTGTGTAATCGTTCTCGCAGTATTGGTGATTGCACCCGCAATGGTCCAAATTATAAATATCACCAAAAGCTACTTTTTCATTTCTATCTTCTCTCTCTCACACCAGTTCCGCCATTTTTGAACCCCATAAGTTGCAAAACCTTGGGTTTCATCTATTTTCATCCATTTCCTACCTTTAGTACTTAAGGCAAAAAGGTAGAGCAAGTTGAGGGCTATATTTTAATCTAAAAATTTCAAGTTTTTGTTGTTACGGGTTTTTGTGCTTGATCTCTTTTCTCTCCTTGCTTTGAGGTGGGTGTAGACACTCTATTTTGACCGGTTCTAAGATTTGGATGTTTTCTTTTAATTACTTGATGGTCATGCAAAACAGTCAACCACGACCAATATTTTGGCCGACCAGCCAGCCAAGGTTTTTTGGCCGGCTAGCCAATAAATTGGCTGGCAAACTAATTTAGCCAAAAGCAAGGTAGTTTTGGAAGAATTCTTGTTGAATGCGTGTGGATCATGCCATTTTAGATATTTTCTTGTTATATTCATGTATTAATTACACACCCACTCCCTCCATTATCCTCCTTTGGCCTCTATTGTCAAAATGAGGATTGTCTTCTCAAAAGGTGGCAACATTTTCAATCATCCTTGTCACCTATGGTCCCTTGTCACCCACCTTGTCTCCTACCTCCTTGATTGAGCTTCCATTCATTATCTATATATAGAGATAGAGAAGATCAGATGGGGAGAAGAGAATGAAATTGAATTAAGAGTTAAAGAGAGAAAGAGAAAAGTCTTGAACATTTAGCTACTAGCTTAGAGATACGGTGATATTCCATCTTTCAATATATCAAACGAAGCCCATAAATTCTGTCATAGTCATATTCTTGAGCTTTCATCAAAAGAGAGTG